AAATTGACTAACTGCGTGCCCATCCAGAAGATAATATCTAGTTCATGAAAGTTTTACTAACTATTTCTTTCCGTGTGTATGTCACTAGAAATATTCAGACATTTTAATAAATAAATTTTTAATTCAGTATTAATAATTAAATCTAAAATAAACAAATTATATTTAAAAAATAAAAAAAAAATAAGATTTTTAATTTTGTCTACCTCCACGTGGTAAGAATTGGTAAACGCCTAAATGGGCGGCTAAGAGACAAAAACTGAAAACCCCTTCAGGCTATTTGAACGGATTTTTACATTTTTCATCTGTCATATTGGATCCGCCATATTGTATTTTTGAAAACCGACTTCAGATTATTAATCAGCGATCCCAAAAACCCCCGAGTAACTGATTTCATGTAAATACGATGAATTGTTTTTTTAAGTCCGCTATATTGGATCCGCCATTTAGAATTTTTAAAAATGAAGTTCAAATTCGTAATCAGCAACCCCGAAAACCTTCGAGTATGAAAATTCAGACCAAATGAATGCATTTTTAAAACTTTCATCCGTCATATTGGATCCGTCATATTGAAATAATGAAGTTCAAATTCGTAATCTGCAACCCCGAAAACCCCCGAGTATGAAAATTCATACCAATTGAATGCATTTTTAAAATTTCATCCGCCATATTGGATTCGCCATTTTGCATTTTTGAAAACAGACTTCAAATTCTTAATCAGCGACCGCAAAAACCCCCGAATAACAAAATTCAGGCAAATCCAGTTACATTTTGTCAACTTGACCAATATTGCGCAAAATTTTCACAATTTACAATGAATTTGACGCCATATTGGGTCCGCCATTTATAATTTTTTTATTCTACTTTACGTTTTTCGAAAGTACACAACTTTTATGCACCTATGGGGTGTTTTCGGCATTCACTCAGAGTTAACTCTAGAGTTAACAGTGGTGCTCAATGATATTATCTTTGAAAATTTATTTACCTAAATAAAATAATTGATTTTCTATTTTCATCACCCTGAGTTTGAAGTTAGTTGTCCTTGTTTGCTTACTTTTTTTAATTTATACGTATTTTTTGTTTTTCATTTAAAAATGGAACATATTTTTGCTACCCATAAACGTGTTATTTTTTTAAAGTTTATAGTTTTCAAATTTTTCATTATTTCCCTAACTTTAATTAATCTGAATTGTTTAAGGAACTAGATTATTTATTTTAATTAAAGTTGTTTTTTATAAATAAAAAGTTAAAATATTTTTTAATAAAAATAAATTATTATGTTTCAATTTACACTTTTCAAAACAAACAATCCGTTCACAAATTTTGTCGGCCATTAAAGGTTAGGACTGACCCTTTTTCTTTACTCTCGCAAGAAAACAGAGTTAACTCTGGGTCATCTTGTAATAAATTTTTGGGGACTTTTATGAAATCTAGAAACAAAAATTTTTATTTTAACATTGCATTACTAGTATAAAAGGCCCGTTTCACATGTTGTTACAATTGCAAACCCTGCGCCAATCAAAATGAATCGTCTATGCTAAATTGCCAATCAACAATGTTCACAACCAACAGACGAACTGAAAATCAAAATTTACATTTGAGCACCACTGCTAACTCTAGAGTTAACTCTGAGTGAATGCCGAAAACACCCATGGTTGACAATTTAATTTTATTTTTACATTTTTTCCGATTGAAAAAAAATGTCAAACTTAAAAAAAAGAAACTTTTTTGTGTTTTTTGACATTTAAACCGCCATATTTAATTTAGGCTTAGACGAAATTAATTTTTGACACCGGAATCGGAAAGAGCACACTCAAGACCTATAGGAAATGTACCTCTCGTAGAAAATGTTGACCGATTTATTTAAAATAACGTAGTCTGAATGTGTACAAAGAATTTTCAGTTTTTGGGCGTTAATGGGTTAACCGATAAACGATGAAATTGTCTCTTCATCCATTCACTACACTTGCAATAGATTTCTTACTTTAACCGGATTCATTTAATTTGCAGGCACATTGATGTCACTTTGTATACACGTTCAAGTACATTTTAGCACCACAAATTCATACAATTAGAGAAAAATCATACTATATTCACATGGGTTGTGTCACTCATTATTCACATCACCTGAGACGTGATTTTTTTAGACAAAATTCATTAGTTTATAGGGTCGTAGATTTGTATGCAAGAAAAGTTTGGAACATGTACTATAATTGCTTCAAGTCCATGTCGTAAATACTCTCCTCCACTCAATGCGAAATTTGCTTGAAATCCATGCGCTTTTCGGATGGATTTCTTGCAACGGAGATAGAAATGATAGTGCGCATGCGTGGCTTCCGTTCACGTGTCGGTCGAAGGGTTCAGTCCCATTTGTAAGAAATCCATCCGAAAAGCGCATGGATTTCAAGCAAATTTTATATAGAGAGAAGGAAGGCAATTTTATCATGTTTCTTAAGCGTTTATAGTTTACAGATCAATCAGAATTAGTATACATCGATGGCTGGGTGTAAAAACATGACACATCGAATTGGCGTTGAAAAACATGATACGTCGGATAAGTCTTGGAAAACATGATACATCGTTGTTTGATTTAAAGAACATGACACGTCGAAAACGAAATTTTTTTTTCAAATTTCTGTTGGTACCACTGACCGTGAAATTTAAAATGTGTCAAATCTTTGAAACTGTTTTATGAAACAAATGATTTTGCTTCATAATATGTGAGTTCAAAGAAAAATTGGGTTAAATAGCTTTTTATAAAGTTTATATTTAGATTGATAAAATTTGTGATTTTATAAATAATTCTATTTTATTATAAATATTTATATTGTAAATACACTAAAGCGTCAATCGAGAACAGGTCAGTCGAAAACAGAAAAAAAGTATTCAAAGATGTGATTAAAATTGATTTAAACTACATATGTACTGCTCAAAGTTCATGTAACTATTTGTTAAAAATATTTTTAAATTTTGTGTTATTTAAAATATTTGCTTCATGCCAAAGGAACCGCAATGTTAAAGTTTAAAAAACTGCAACTTAAAATTGAGCAATACTTATATTTATTTTAAATGTTTGTGTTATTTTGCATTCCATGCAATAATTCGTATTCATAGGAAAAAAACCAATAAATCTTAATAGCCACTGATGGAATAAAAATACAATTATTACCTTAAAGTACATTTTTCTAATTTAAAAATCATCTTATTCTATAACAAATTATCTTTTTTTAATTAATCAAATTTTAAAAGTTTTTAAATAAATATATTTTTTATTGTTAATTTTAATACCTATAATTTGAAATAAACGTTTACATTTTTGGTATGATAAAATAAAGTTATATAAATATATTATATTAATCATTTTATTGAGAGAATTATTTAATTAATTTAATTTAACATTTTGTTACTATTTACTATGCAGATAACGCTTGTATAATAAAATAATACATTAGTAATAATTAAAAATATATTTATTTAATTACAAGAAATGTAATAAAAAAGTAAAAAAAAGTAATAAGTCACATTTGTAATGTTCGTTTTGTGAGTGTGATTTTAACACCCTGCCTATCAGCAACGAAGAGAGTATATAACTCAGAAAAATTATATAATACATATCTCTATATCAGTCAATTCTAATTCGTCAATTAATAAAGATCTTCATTAAAATCGAAGTTATCTAGTTTTAAAGTATGTATTAATTATGTATTAATTTCTTTGATTTTTCTAAGCCAAGTCGATTTCTTAACTTATTGTGAATTATAGCCCATTGAGAAAACAACCTTTCAATGGCAGCAGTTGAACTAGGTCTTCTTAATAACTTTTGTGCAAGTTTAGCTAATTCAGGATGATGGTGTTCTGCAAGAATCCAAAAAGTATATGGACAGTTACTTTTTATTTCAAAAAGCCTGTTAAAAATACCACTTTTTGTTTCATAATCTGAAAATGATTTAAGCCCATTTTCACTTAAATTCTATTTTAGAAATCTTTCGGCCATCTGATTGTAAATTCTACTTTCCGAAAACCGCTCTCCCTGATACAGAGGATGCAGAATATTGGCAGCCAAGTTTATAGGTCCTAAAACTTTTTCGAGGCGATATTGTAAAGCAGATTTCATTTGCTGATCGTGAAATGGCAACTCCAATTTCAGCCACTCTTCTGCAGCGTCCGCAACATTAAAGTCGGCCTTCTGGCATTTATTTATTAATTCGCATATTCCGTCAAAAATAATTGTAAATTGAATTACTTCCCTTTCGAATTCCTCGTTCAACACCAAATTAATAATCTCATGTAAAAAATGTTTTAGCATTCTATGATCGTGAACAATAGTTCTCATGTTAATTAAATTTTTTAGAAAACAACGGTAAGAATCCCTGTAACTGCACCATCTTGTTCTCCTGGCAAAACTATTCTAGAACCACCAAGCAGGGTTAATTCTCTTTCTACAGATGGCAATTTGAATACTTTTAAGACGTTTACAATTTTTGCGTTAAAAGAAGAATCCACTAAACTTTTTGCAAGAAGATTGCCGGTATGCTTATCACAAGTTGTGTGCCACTCATTGATCATATTGCCCATGCATATCATCGATGAAACATTGTCGGATTTAACTTCATATATATTTGCGTTATACTTTTCTTTTGCGTCCTTTGAAGCATCTTCGATGACTTTTTTAAATTCAATGCAGTTTCGCTTTCCTGTGTTAAGTCCCACGAGTTAAGAAAAAGTCGTACTCCATCTGCATTGTGAATTATTGCCACTACATATTTTTCATTTTTAGAGGAATTTTTCCATCCATCAACTATAAAAGAACACTATCTGTCATTTCTGCAAAAGAAGTTTTTGCAATAATCTTTTCATAAACTTTATCCAAAATTTTTTCACTTAATGTCTTTCTCAATGGAGGCTTGTAATCAGGATTTAATTTTTTTACAAAATTTAAAAAGTGTTTTGATTCACAATTATGTATATTTAAAATGTATTAAAATTATTTTAAAACCTTACAGTTAGCGAAGAAGATTCCGTGGCTGATAGTGAAGTTTGATTATGATGTGCTTTTCTGATGCCTGCTGCTGCTCTCAAACTTTTCTTTTGGTCGTTATTGCAAATATTCCCTTTACAAATAAATAGTAATTATTCTCTATTTTTATAGGATAATAGTTTATTAAGGATGAATATATGAGGAGCAATTTTTCAAAAACTGGTAAATCCATTTTTGTTTTAACTTGAGATTTATATTTTATTATTATTTTTAATTTTATTATCAAAGAATTTTCAATTTTAAAAACATTTTGGACTAACCTAATGGAATTTCAATTTATTTTTTGATTATAAAAAAGTATCAAATAGACAAAATCCTTTAAATCTCTAAATTATACACGGAGAAAAATCTGCTGCGATTTTTGCTTGTGCAGTCTTTATTAATTTCATAAGTCACTTTTCGATACAATTTTAGCTTAAGACTGGAATAATTTAAATATGAATTCATGTATTTAATGTAATGGAGTGTATCAAACAAAAAACACAAGTCACGGGTGTTAATTTTGCATGAATTTCACATAAAAACTGCAAAGGGGACATGCCATTAAAGTATTAGATCCTCTCTTATAAAATTTGCAAGAATGCCATCTGATTTTCAGGTGGAATTTATACAACACAATCTTACCTCCGTATACACACAGCATTTCACACACACACAAATATTATATGCTGCGTTGATTCCGAGGAACGGCGCACAATCTATGCGCGCTACGGAGTTCGCGTTCCTTATATTCAACGTTCAAGTAATAAAAAAAATGTGCTCGTTTATTTTCGTCATCTAAAGTTTATAAAATAACAGTATTATGTATAACTTTAAGAATTAGTGTTTATACGTGTTGCAATAAGAAGATAATATTGGTTTAATAGTAAGTAATACTTTAAACTTATTCTATTGTTATGTATGCTTAATCAACGTGACATGTGAAAATTTATAGGTTATGTTAATCACAACTGCCACAGTGTTTACAAAACATTTTTAAAAGAAAATTGTTTGAATTTTTTGTTTCATGAAATTATGATTTATAATATTTCATTGCAGTTTATTGTTAGAAAAATGAACGAAATGAATAAAGTGCGTGAAGATCATTCGTCAAAGGCAGGACAAGGTTTACATTATTTAATTTTCAATTAATTACGTTTAAAATTATTAATGTATGTGTTATGTTATGTGTTATGTGTTTGCCTTATTTTTATATAGACTAAAGCAAAATTATTTAAGTTTTTAGAATCATCTAATGATACATTGTCGACAATTGTATTGAATAATAGCGCTTTGCATTGTGATGGTGCACTTGTTGGTGACTATTTTGTAGACCAAGACTACAACACTATCTTCACACTATCTTCATTCAGTGATATTTGTAAAGAAATTTCTAATCCTGCTATAAATTCGCAAAGACATCCTTTGACGACTAATTTTCCTGCTAATGGAACCAAAGAACAGAATACTTTAAATTGCGAGATTGAAGGTAAACTATTTAAGTTTATTGTCAAACGTTTTACATTGTAAATGAAACTTTAGTTAGTAAAAAAAAATATTTTAAGAAAAGCTTATGATGTTAAAATGTTATAAATTTCTTTAAACTCTTTGTTAATTTCCATTACCTTTAGTACAACAAAAATTATAAACTAGAATAAAATAGAATTATTTTACCAAGTTGTAATCCACAACGTTGATCAATGAAAAGAAAATTTCTGAATAAAATTTAATAAAAAACCAACAAATCTCTGCAAAAATAATAGAAAAACAAAAAAAAATTTTATTTTATATTATTTATATTATTTATTTTATTCTCGATTTATTTATTAAATAAAATAAAATTTAATTTATCCATAGATAATTTTCTGAATATATATCATATTTTATTAATATTTAATTAATTTCATACCTATATTAATTAATTAAATTAAAATTATTAATTAATGTAATAAATATGTAAATATATAATATTAATACTATATTGGTGATTATATTTTAATATTTAATATAAAAATAATACTCATACCCATAATATAATAACAAATATATAAATACAATGAATAAATATAATTATAAATTTATACAAATGTAATTAATATTAAATTTTTTATAATTTCTCTTCAAATTTTTTGATTGTTTTTTTATTTTAATAGATTAATAGATAGTAAAACACGAGCGTGCGCATTGTGCGTTCCCTTCCTCGGAATCACCAGCATACAATGATTGTGTGTGTGAAATGCTGTGTGTATACGGAGGTAAGATTGTGTTGTATAAATTCTGTGGTTGAAAGGCATAACAGCATAACTGACATTTTTATCAAATTTGAGATAACACCAGATTCTAGTACATTTAGTAATGCTTTCCAAAGATTCATAGTTGAAAAATCATTAATGAACTATTTAAGTAGAAAATGATGAAAAACCTAATCGCATAACTGCACTTTTGGCAATAGGCGATAGGCATAAGCGCATAACTGCATTCAGAATAAAAAAACAATTGACGTAATCTAAAAAATTAAAGTAATATTTTAAAATAAAAATATTATTTATTTATTTATTATTTATTTTTATCTTATAATAAGGAATTTCAGAAAAAATGAAATTTTTTATTAGTTTGACTAATTTTTCGATTCATTAATTCTTTTGAATCACAGGTATCTTCATTCTTCTCAATATCTTCACAAAAAATATTAAATTTGAGAAATTACGGAAATGTAAACATAAAACCTAACCAATTTTATAACCTATTTTTAAAAAATATTCCTTTGATTTTTTTCATAGATACAATAAACATAAATAATAATTTTATTCTTTTGCCTTTATTATAATCATCTCCTTCAGATATATTTGTTTCAGACTCAGATTCGTACATCGCTATTAAATCCAGTTTGACAATTTATTATGACATGAAAAATAGAGTGAAGTTGGTTACATATTTAAACTTTAACAGCATAAATACATAACTGCAAAAAAACTTTCAATTTGACTAAGAATATATTAAATTTCATATGAATTCGTGCGTTTTATAAAATGTGATAAACGTATTTTAAAAATACATTAAATAATGAGACTAAATGCCGAATACCAAACACATCCGTTGATTTTCTGAATTGACAGAGCTAAATGAATATTAAAACTCATTTTTCTCAAAATCGTGACAAATGCAGTTGTGCTGTTATGCCTTTCAACCACAGAATTCCACCTGAAAATCAGATGGCATTCTTGCAAATTTTATAAGAGAGGATCTAATACTTTTATGGCATGTCCCCTTTGCAGTTTTTATGTAAAATTCATGCAAAATTAACACCCGTGACTTGTGTTTTTTGCTTAGAAACTATTTTTACAATAAATACTTGAATTTATGCTAAAAATACAATTGTCGTGCCATGTAATTAAAGTAATTTACTCATCCAAGCAAAAATCGCAGCAGATTTCTCTCCGTGTAGTAGACTTTGATTACAAAAAAATGCTTTAAATATAAAAGATATTAAAATATAAATAATTTATGAAAATTTTTCTACATTAAAGTTGTCATCGAAATGACAAATTTTGGATTTATCAGATATCGAAAACTTACTCCCTATATCAATAATTCAATAAATATAGAAAACAAATGTTAATAAATAAAATATTAATAAAATTCTTACCTATGTCTTAAGAGACGTTTATAACCAATATTTCTTAAAATATTGTTGCAGAGCAAACATTTTGCAGCATTTGATTTAGTCCCCCCTTTTGACTCATGTATTATTGACAAACGTTCAAATTGTAATTGATCGTACGTAAAATATGGTTTTGTACAATTCAAAGTTCGTTTCATTTTAAAAATACTATTTACTTTTTCAGAAACACTTTAAATTCATAAAACGTCAATTTTTGCAACGGTCGTAATTTGAAAAAGTGAGGCTATGTATGGACGGAAGATGACGGGATATAATTTACCTAGTTTTCTACGTATTATACAGTATATTACGTCGAAAACGTATTATACGTCGAAAACCTCCAGTGACATGTCACTGCCCAACACTGGCCCATACCGGCTCTCCGCGGTGCCTTGTTCACTCAAGGCACTAGTTCGGTCCCGGCCGGTAGAGTGGGGGTATAGTGCTTCCCCTCACATGCTAAGGTTTCGTTTGGAGAAACAATATATTTTTCGCGAACCATTACCTTCAGAGCTGAGATTGGCAGTTATGTTGCAGTAAGTTTTCTTATATATAATTAGTTTAAATTTCAATTAATGTATTTGTAATTTGGTTCCATTATAATGTGACAATTTCTAAACTTATAATTATATTTTATAAAATGGCTAAAGGTACTTCCAAGTTTTTAAATGATTAAAAACTTTCCAGGTGGAAATCAGCATACAAGTTTTCTTATCTTTCTAAATTTGAGAGATATTAAAAAATGGATGTAAAATCCAAATTTTTATACCCTCCAAGGGTATCAAAATTTTTTTTACGTTTTCGAAGATGTCCTTTTATTTATTTTGCGGGTTACTGTAAAATGACAAGTTTCTTTTAGAGTTTGCTATTACATCAAAATGTTTTTATGTCGAATGATAAAATATTTTTAATCTTATTCCCTAATCTTTTCTCCAAACTTTTTATTATTTTACATAATTGATCTTATTATTATAGGATATAATTATTAATATTTAATAAAATTTTTTAATTTTAGTTATCTGGCACATGGAGATAGTGTGAAAACACTATCAAGATTTTATTTAATTGGAAAATCTACGACTTATAATATAATAAATGAGGTTAGCCAAGTAATTTGGGAAATTTTGTCAAAGAAGTACTTAAAAGAAAAAACACCTGATGATTGGAAGAAAATTGCAGATGAATACGAGAATAGATGGAAATTCCCACACTGCATTGGTGCGCTTGACGGAAAGCACATCAGAATTATAAAGCCACCAAATTCTGGAAGTGCCTTTTTTAATTATAAAAAATTTTTCAGTTTTGTACTCATGGCAATGTGCTATGCTAATTATACATTTACATGGATTGATGTCGGTGATTATGGTAAGTCACAAATAATATTTATTTAATTTAAAAATTTCATTATTTTTTTCAAATGATAAATATTATTGAAAATAAAATTAATCTAGTTATTAATAGTAATAACTATTACACCAACTTCATAATAGTAAATATTTTTGAAAATTCATTAAATATTTTAAACATTTTTTAATTTCTGTAGGATCTTTATCAGATTCCAGTGTCTTCGAGGCAACTGGGTTTGCCCAGGAATTGGAAAGTGGGAGATATTCTCTTCCTGAAGGAACATGCTTGCCAGGGACTAATAAAATTATTCCCTATTTTATGATAGGTGACGCAGGATTCGCAATAAAATCTTATTTAATGCGTCCTTATAGCGTAAAATTTGTTAAAAACTTTGAAGAAGAGAATTTCAATTTTAGGTATGTTCTATAACGTTTATCACAATATAATACTGTATACAAATTTTATAATAAATATTATAATTTAATTTGAAATATATATGTAATCAATTGCAGATTGTCAAGTGCGCGTATGCCGATTGAAATATCTTTTGGTATTCTTGCTTCCCGATTTAGAGTTCTTCTTGGAGTAATTTCATTAAAATTGGAGACCTCCATTAATATTGTTAAATGTCTTGTATGCTTGCATAATTTTTTAATGAAAAGCGAAATTACTGAAGATGAAAATAAAAAAAGCTACGCTAATGTAAAACTTGTTGATCAACTTTTTAAAGAAATACAAAGTAAAGAAAATGACATAGAGGAAGAAGAAGAAGAGGAGGAACAGGAACAAGAAGAGGAAATTTTTGTCGAGAAAATAATAAATAAAAATAATATAAGGAACACATTGGCAAAATATTTAAAAGATAACTAAAATGATCTACATATAAATTTTACAATAAAATATTATAATTTGAAGACAATGAAAACATTTATTAATTTATTAAACATGATTTTTAAAGTTTTCCTAATTACTGTAAATTTCATTGGCTATTGTAAGAAATCATGTTTACTCGGTAAAATAAAGAAAACAATAATTTTAAATTAACATATTTATTAAACTTGAAATTCAAAATTTCAACACAATTATTTACGAATGACTTTTTTTTCTTTAACGTTTATAAATGTAATATAATATAAATATTTATAACAAAATATATATATACATATAAAAAAATTTATGTATGTATAAAACAATAATGTTTGTAACAAAATGTAAATTTACTTAGATTTTTTTTCATCATTATTTTGTTGTGAAATCATTTTATTTAAATTCTCGATTAAAAAATTAAAAACAAATCTTTTATTATCTGCAGTAATTTGTCTAAAGGTGTGAATTAATTGTTTTTCAAACCCGTCCAGTACTTCAGATGTTTGAATATTTTTGTAAATATTTTCCATTAATATTTTTATATCGTTATTATTTTTATCCATTATTGATTTATTATTATTGCCAGAGTGTAAAATATTTCTTTTTTCCTTATAATAAGACGTAACTACATTAGTATATTCCTTGAAATCTTGCATTGCATCCTGGTAAAATATGTCTCGTGATTCCCAGGAACTTCTTTTATTTTTAGCATAATTGTTTATAGGTGGATGATGTACTAGAAGATGAAGACATTTATTAATTTAAATAATATTTTATATAAATTATTAGTTTTCTGTAAATTTTTAAAACCTTTACCTTTTCTATAGTAAGCCAACTCACGATGCTCCTTGTAATTATTTGCAACTTCTTTTCGAAAATTAGAATGCACCGGATTTGGCATTTTTCTATTTATTGGAGTTTGTGATAAGGTTCTACCTACTCTTTCATTTTCATTTATTTCTATTTCGCTATTATTATTTTCATTTCTTGTTTTTGAGGAACAAAATTTCTTTTTTACATGTTGATTATCTGCTTGATCATAATTATTGTTCGGGTCATCAATTATTAATAATTCTTCATTATTTTCCATTAAATCCATATTTAATTCTTCAATTTCTGGAGCAGGACTATTATTTTCGCCAATTAGTAATGATATATTATTTTTATTAAAAAATGTTTTAACCTGTTCATTAATTTCATCAAAGGTTCTTTTTCTTTTCATAGAATATGGCTCAGTTAAAATAATGTTACTAATTATTCGCGGTTTTTTTATTTTTTCATTTAATTTATAATCTTCTTTGGCTAAAAAAATAGCGAGTTCTTCTTGCAATTCCCTAGAAAAATTACTTTTATTAATTTAAACTATAAACTTTTTGAATCTTTATTAAAATGCACTTTTAAAAGAATTTAAATGTTGAGAAAATATTTTTAATAAATATGAAAATATAAAGTTAAACAAATTTCAGTTCAAATTCAGTTGAATTAAAGTGAATACACACAGGGTGTCAGTGAATATCGGATACCGATAAATTCGAATTAGAACTATGTTGTAATTCTTCTAAATTCGACAAATCTTGCTTAACAACAAATACGAAATGGTCCTTTCCAAAAAAGTTAATTCAAATGAATTCATCTGAATTTTTTTTTACTGGGATTTTTTTTATTTTAAGAAATATAATTTATATTATTTTGGTTTAATTATATATGTGAAAATAATAAAATACCTGTCTGTTTCTTTAACATTTTCAACATTTTCATTTTCATTTATGTGCATAATTTCACTTGCTGCAATGTTAGACTCAATTATATAGTAAAGGTTTTCACCGTCTTTCTTTTCTTCAAAACGACATCGCCACGGTATTTTTTCCAAAAAATTTTTATTATTTTTAGGAATTAATTGATTTTCCATTGCATCGGCACAATCAATTGCATCTGCCATCGAAGATGATTTCGGATATTCCCATGTCTCTTTTAATTTTTTTGGAATTAAAAAATTACAAGTTTTGTCTTTATTATTCTGAGTATCAATTTTTGATGGGATACTTCCATTAATGTATACATTTCGGTTATCTTCATTATTAGTAAAATGATCTTGATGTTGATCAATTATTGAATGGCTACTTTCTTCTATTTCCATGTTTTCATTAACTTCCTTTAAAAGATGAATGGAATCCTCTGGAATATGTTCATTTTCAATGCATGGAATTGTAAGAATGTCATGATTTATTTCCGGATTGTTGATTATTAAATTTTGTTCCTTCATCATCTGTGATGAACATGAATTCTGCGAACTTATATATAAAATATTGTATTTTATTAAGTCTAAATAGTAATTTGCTGAATTAATGTTAAATTAAAAATAGAATAATACCTTTCTGTTTTATTTTTGTGTGAAATATGTCCTAGAAGAAAAGTCAAATACATTTCAAATTTATAGGGAACACCTTTTCCATGAGCTCTAACGAAACCAGTTCTTATTGAAGACCATCTAGTAGTTAGTTCTCCTCTAACTAAAAAAAGTGTACATTTAATATAAAAAATATTTATAATATGTGACCGTCCATGAGAGAAGTGACCTTAGCTCACTAAAATTTTACGTTATATATTTTATAATATGTTTTAATATAAAACTATTATGTTCAAGTCTTCATTATCTTCAAAGAATTCCATAAAAATTAATTTGAATGTTTTCTAATTAAAAAGAAATTTTTTATAAAGGCGAAACCAACAAAAAAAATTTGGTGAACTAAGGTCCCTTCTCTCGTGGACGGTCATATATGTAGATTAGAAGTTACAATGAAATTCTATGTGAACGTAAACGAGAAATTAAATGCAAAAATTAGAAGTTCAAGAGAGATAGGAGGATATCAATAACTTTTTGAGTCATGTTTTTTTGTTTTAACGTTTTTATGCTTAAACTCACATGGAATTAAACCATTAAAAAACAATTTTTTTTATTAAAAATACATACTTTTATTAAAAAATTTTTCCTTTTCCTTTTCATCTTCGCCTGCAAAAGAAAATTAAGATTTTTTAAAATAATATTGTTTCTAAAAAACTTTTAATATACATTTTAACAGCATGTGATCCTTAGGTCACGTGACCACGCAATAATGTTAATTTTGTCGGCCACTATTCTCTTAAAATATTAAATGAATTAAGGTGATAATTTATGAGGTGATCTAAAATATCATAAGGAAGGGCACTGAGGTGCAAAAGTTTTGATATTTTATAAATTAATCATTATAATGGTAGGGAGTCAAAAGTTCCAAAAAAAAAGTTCCAAGCCAAAAAGTTCCAAAAAGTTCTTTTTCCCAAAGTACATTTGTTCCAAAGTATTAATAGTTCCAAATAAGTACCAAATTTGTTCCAAAAGAAAAAAAAATACAATGAGATGAAATAATAATCATGTAAAACGATAAGCAGCTAATCTCATTATCATTATTCAGTTGTTTTTCAAAAATATTTTAGTGTCAAAATTAAAGTAAACAAGGAACACGTTTCGAAAAATTTTTGGTAAAATTTAAAGTAAATTAAAAATTAGAAGTCAGTAAATAATATTATTTATTTAAAACCATTGTAATGGCGCAAATTATTAGGAAAGGAAGAACAGTGTATTTAGAAATCGAAGGATTCTTGTATTACAAGCACTCGGAGGCGAAGGTTATATATTGGAGGTGCAAAAATAAAGAAAAGTGTGATGCTCGGGCAATTACGATTAGTGATGGAGACACGGTTATAGTACGTAAAGGTCCCAACGAATCTGAACATAATCATGCTCCAAATCGAGAAGAGGTTAACGCATTGAAACTTCTTGCGAATATTAAGAGAAAAGCCACGGAAAATCCGGATGCACCGCCATCCCGGGTTCTAATGTGTTTGCAAGACGTGCCATCAGGTACTTTAGCAGAACTTCCCGATAGACAAAATATTCGAAAAATTATTCAACGTGAGCGTTTACAAGATTTGCCGCCTAACCCTCAAAATATTGAAGATTTAGGAGACATACCAGGTGAATTTCGAAATACTTCAGCGGGCGAAGATTATTTGTTGTATGATTCTTTTAACGATAATGACTATAATTTAACGTGCGGCAGAATACTTGTGTTTGCAACGCGGGAAAATATAAAAAATCTCATGAAAAGCAAAACCTGGTTTGTTGACGGCAACACGATTTTCTTTTTTTCAATTTTTTACACTTTTTGGAACTTTTATTAAATTTTATTTTGGAACTTTATTATTGGAAATTTATTATTGGAATTTTCTTTTTGGAACTTTTGTACTTTTGGAACTAACTATTCTTGGAACTTTTCTCTTGGAACTTTTGGGTTGGAACTTTTTTTTTTGAACTTTTGTACCCCAATCATTATAATACTCTTTGAAATTGTTAGTTAATTTGTTCAAGATTAACCTTATTTTATTCATTTAAATTTCAAAGTGTTTTATAATCGTTAATTGAAAAAAAAATCAAAACTTTTACACATCATTGCCCTTCTTTATATTATTTTAGACCTTCTCATAAAATATTACCTCAATTTATTCAATATTTTACAAAAAAAAGTGGCCGACAAAATTAACATTAATGCGCGGTCACGTGACCTAAGGATCACATGCTGTTAATGCATTTCAATTGAAAATTTTTATGAATTAAAATTTTGATTAATTAAATAAAAAAATAGTACAATTAAATATTTTTTAATATTAATTTATTATATTATATTTAGAAAACACAAATTTATTAAATATCTAATATTTTAACTTACTTGTTAATGGAGAATAATAGCCGGCTTCAATCATAGAATGTATGACTTTATTCCATGCGGACAATCTTGTTTTAGCGTTACATCTTTTCTTCTCAAATAAGCACGGATTTTTTTCAATGCATGCTATTAACATTACATCTTTTTTATTGTCTCCTTGATCTTGAGACATATTTTAACAAAATTGTTAACTGTTATTAAAAAATGCGTTTAAAATAAGAATTTAAATTAATTTAAAGCAATGAAGAAATTTGCACTGCAAAAGTTACACCCATAGTCGAGAATGCTATGCTTATAAAATGACACTTTTTTTAAAAAGGAAAAGTAACTAATAAAACAATGGTAAAACGAATAATAAAAGGAAATATAAAAATACCAAAAAACAATTCGAATAAATGCAAAAAAGAAAATACAAGAAAAGTACACGAACACTCAACAAACAAACTGTTTATATAAGAAAACTGATAGTGATGAGAAGTTGTCTTTCGTTTAGTTATTAAATCAAAATAAACAATATTAATTTCTTTTTTGTTTTTCAATAACAAAACGAAATAAACTTTTTTTAAAAAATATTATGAAAATTTTTTTATGAAAATATAAAATAAAATATAAAAATTATATATATTTTATGTTTATTAAAAGAGTATGTACAAAAAATTAAAAAATATAATTATAGACACTTTTATTTATATAAAAAATATTAATTTACAAATTTTAAAACAATATTAATATAATATAAAACAAATGTAAATTAATCTTCTAAAATATCGAGAATGGCGTTGAATTTTGACAATTTTTTTTCCTCTGGTACTTTCCTGAATGCAGCAACAATCACTTCCTCATATCCAGATAATTTATTATTTTTTTCCTGTGATTCTATGATTGTTTTTAACATAACCTCAATGTTTTGACTACATTGTAAAATTTCTGTGTCCTTATCCTTTTCATTGTCCAAAATTGTTCCTCTTGCCTCATCTAAATATTCTCCCATTCTAATATCGTCCTCCATTTCAATTAATTCACGAGGAATATCCTTTGTCTGACGTTCATCAAAATCAGAAATTTTTTCAAAATCATATGAAATATCATTTTCTGATGTTGAGTATGCATTATTCGATGAAAAAGTAAAATTACTGTTTGTTCTATAACAATATTAAAATAAAGTATATTATAATATGCAAATAATTAAGCAAACATTTTTTTCTACATAAATAAAAAATTATATGATTTAAAAAAATATTAATATATACATACTTGTTATGCCTAACGTGACGATCCAAATACATCATCGAATCATAATAATAAAAATTATTTTTTTCCTCCATAGCTTCAGATCCACTAGGTCTATATTTAAGTTTTTCTTTATGATCCTTCATATACAATTTTTTTAATGATTCCCATCTTGCTTTTATCCCTTCAACTGAAAAGTAGACAATATGCACACACATAAGAAAAGAATATAAAATAAATATATATATTTTTTTAAATTATAAATTTTGTAAAAAAAAACTTACCTGTTGCTGTTTCACCAAAACGTTTCTGATATTTTTTTGCAATTTCTTCCCACGCTTTGGACTTCTTTAAATTGTCTTTATAATCATCTCTTTTTTTTATTATATAAATAAGGATGATTTTCTACACTCTCAATGATAAACAAATTTTTATCACTATTTTCACTAGCTTCATAGGTATCCTCCATTATTGTTATTTATAAATAAACTTTTTTCGTCAAAAAAAATGAAAATAAAAAAAAATAATAAAACGAAATACAAGAATACCAAAAAACAATTCGAATAAATGCAAATAAGAAAATACAAGAAAAGTACACGAACACTCAACAAACGCTATATACAGCAAGCTGTAAAATGAAATAGCATGGAGTTGAATGAAATTTTCAAAGCATTCGGATCTAGGGGAATGCAACATGGTTAACCAATCATATGATTGGTTGATTCATACTTTTTTAAACTAGACTAGATAAAAGTATGAAATATTAAAAATAATTTAAATGTTGTACACATTTAGAAGAGTTATAAATAACAAATATATATTTAAAAAAAAGAGAGAATTTTATGCATGAAATATATACTTTGTATAATGTAAGTATATATACTCTAAACTCTAAATTGTGACCATGTGCGACTTGTAAAATTATTTTGGACAAACCAAAATAAAAAATTGTTAAAAAACTACATAAATAAAATAGATATAGCTTATGTGATTACACTTTACAATATAAGTGCAGTTTTATAAGGATGCAATTCCATGGAGTTGTAAAGTACAAAATTCAAAACAAAAAATCATGTGACTGAAAGAGATAGCTGTGATATACGCTATCTTTCTCATACTTATGATTTACTTGAACAATCAGATGTTTGAGATTTTTAATAACTTTTTCTGATTGGTCAATTCTAATTAACCCACATGGGACAACGCCTTTAAATTTAACACATTTTATACAAAATTTCTTATGTACAATTTGGGTAAATTTGAAAAATGTCCAATGAAATTTTAAGCTTTATGAAAAATTTCAATTTAAAACTGCATAAAATTTTACCCTTTTGAGTTCAGGTCCATGTGAGCACAAATCATAAATTAAAATTTCATTACAGCGAAAAGGATAGTGATATTTGACTATCTCTTTTGCACTCATAAATTTACATTTTCTATTAATTACTTCTTACTTACATTTTACTGCACATTTTTATATAAAATATACAATTTCTACATTTATAGTTACAAGAAATATTTTTTTGTTTTTCAATATAGCTTAATAAAAAATTGTTCTATTTTTTGAGGTTATACTTTTCATAATATGTTTCATAATTACACAAAATTAAAAGGTTATTTCAAAACAAAAGCTTAATTAACTTCATTTCATTTATTTTCCATTAATTCATTTTATTCTTGTATATTGTTTAATGTTTAATGTTTCATGAAATTGACTGCTACCTTATATCAAAAACATATTTCTCCTACCGCGCTTTATACCTATACCGAAGCAGAGAACCACTGGTGTCGCTCGACACAGAGCCGGTGGTGGGGGTACGACGATCGAAACGACGTACGATTTCGCCTACATGTGGAACCGCTGTGGGGCGCGCAAAGAACGAATGTCCCGCTTCGCTGTCCGATATTAATGCGCGCATAGTCGTAACGTCGCGCTACGCACTCCGTTTGTCTATTGCAATTAAAAAACATAGTATCATTAATTAGTTTTTAAGTACCCAGTATAATTCAAAAATTCCTTAATTAAATTTAAAAATTGTATTAATTATACTATCAGAAAGTAGTTGAATGACCCAAGAATCCATTTGGTAGAATAAGATTTTGTAGTTGTTTCAGATTTTTTAGTTGATATAAAAAATAAATTTTGAAGTAAAATGTGAGGTAGAAAGAAATCATTTTTATTAATTTTATTAAAAAGAGTTAAATTAATTACACACAGAGTTTGGTTTTGTTTAGTGGCCTGTTGTTCCCGTAGGTCAAATAGCTATGACTTTTTACACACAGAGTTAAAATAAATACAAAAGTACTTACTTTAAGGGTGAAGCTTTATGTAAATGACCTGTTTTGAAAAAATTATTAGAAATAACTAATAGTCTCTATTAAACTGAGTTAAATTATATTATCCAAATAAGGTTTAAAGGTATTAAAATAAATTTTTTATTAAACAAAAAAATCGAACAAGTGCGAGTTACACTCGCACTGAAATCGAGGGTTCCGTACTCGAAGCGAACTTATTTGGTATAAAAACAAATGTTTAAAAAATATGTGTTGTGTATTAAATAATATATGTGATACAAAAATGAACAATTTTTTTAAAAAAATTTAAGAAAATTGTTTCTCCTTTGGTATAAAAACAAAAAAAAAATTTAAATTTGTTTTGTATTTCAAATAATATAAGTGATACAAAAAGGTACAATTTTGTAAAATTTAAGAAAATTGTTCCTCTTCGTATCACTTATATTATTTGAAATACAAAACAAATTAAAAATTTTTTTTTTTGTTTTTATACCAAAGAAGGAACAATTTTCTGAAATTTTTTTTTTAAAATTGTTCATTTTTGTATCACATATATTATTTAATACACAACACATATTTTTTAAACATTTGTTTTTATACCAAATAAGTTCGCTTCGAGTACGGAACCCTCGATTTCAGTGCGAGTGTAACTCGCACTTGTTCGATTTTTTTCGTTTTTTGCGGAAAAATACATTTTTTTTATTAAATTTATCATTTTTCTCACAGTTTTCCTAAAAGTCTCAAATTGAGACCAAAAATTGCATCAAATCTTTGCAACGTTTTGATGCACATAAGTTATATAAAAAAGAAATCGTTTTGTGTATAATTTTTAGAAATGATACACGGAACGGTCTCATTTTTTGATGCAAAAAATTTAATCAATTTATATCAATCATGGCCGAAAAGAATCGACTCAAAATTGAACGAATTTTTTTCAGATATTTTGGTAATAGTACAATTGCGGAGACCATTGCACTATTTAATTTGAATATGAAAAAAAAGAAAATCAAAGACAATGTGCAATTCGATAATTAAAAAGTGACAGCTTATAAACATAACGTAAAATGCATGAGAAAAAATTTGTCGATAAAATCAATATAGCCGAGCTTTTTAGAAGGTAGATGGCAGTTTTGCTTTTTATAAAAACGATTCAGAAAAAATTTAAAGAAAGAAAATAGATTAGTGCTGCCATCTACCTTCTAAAAAGCTCGGCTATATTGATTTTATCGACAAATTTTTTCTCATGCATTTTAGGTTATGTTTATAAGCTGTCACTTTTTAATTATCGAATTGCACATTGTCTTTGATTTTCTTTTTTTTCATATTCAAATTAAATAGTGCAATGGTCTCCGCAATTGTACTATTACCAAAATATCTGAAAAAAATTCGTTCAATTTTGAGTCGATTCTTTTCGGCCATGATTGATATAAATTGATTAAATTTTTTGCATCAAAAAATGAGACCGTTTCGTGTATCATTTCTAAAAATGATACACGAAACGATCTCTTTTTGATATAACTTATGTGCATCAAAACGTTGCAATAGAAAAAGAGACAACCAAGTTTACTGTGCTTCAAAAATTTGATAAAAATTGATCATCAACTCCAATCGCGCTTACATTTTTTGCCTGTATTTTTCACGCAAAAATACAGTTTTACAGCAAATGTGAACAATTTGGGTTGAATATTGTGTGCGCTAGGGAGAATAAATCATTTTTTTCGAAATTTTTGATTTTTCCTTGACAACGCTATGTAAATTGATCGGAATCAAGTTCGCTATATTTTTCCTGTAATTTTCACGTAAAAATACGTAAGTGTACCAAATTTGAGCTCTTTATGTCAAAAGATGTGGCTGCTAGGGGGGGGGTACATAGTCATTTTTAGGTATTTTTCGTAAAAATTCATGGTTTTTCCTTGACAATGCTATGATAATCAACTCCAATCATGCTCGCTAAAATTTTTTTTGTAATCTACACGTAAAAATACGTTAAAATATGTAAATTTAATTTCCTTTAAATAAAATTTTGTTCGTTTTTGGTGGAAAAATACATTTTTTTCCTAAAATTGTCATTTTTTCATGAAAAACTTGATAAAAAGTTAATCATCAACTCTAATCGTGACCGCCTTTTTTCCCCTGTATTTTTCCCGTAAATATACATTTGTATACTAAATATGAACTGTCTGGGTAGAATATTGTGTGCGCTAGGGAGAATAAATCATTTTTTTTCGAAATTTTTGATTTTTCCTTGACAACGCTATGCAAATTGATCGGAATCAAGTTCGCTATATTTTTCCTGTAATTTTCACGTAAAAATACGTAAGTGTACCAAATTTGAGCTCTTTATGTCAAAAGATGTGGCCGATAGGGGGGGGGGTACATAGTCATTTTTAGGCATTTTTCGTAAAAATTCATGGTTTTTCCTTGACAACGCTATGTTAATCAATTCCAATCAAGTTCGCTATATTTTTCCTGTAATCTACACGCGAAAATACATATGTGTACTAATTTTCAGCTCTCCAGATAAATTTGTGTGGCCGCTAGGGGGGGGGAGGTACACGATTTCAAAAAAACCGATATTAATAGGGTTCCGAACCGAGTACGGAACCCTAAAAAAGAGAAAAGCGGCGCTACTGCTGTTCAAACTTAGTTCCTTAATTTTGTGCCGTGGATTGTCCAGGTCTTTGTAATTAACAAAAATCAACAAACCAAATTTTTTTAATAAAATAAGTTATTCCCCTTCGAACTAATTTCAATTGAGCAAAAGAAAATTCATTGAAAATTTTAAAACATTTTAAAAAAATAACTTTAAAGTAAATGAATTTTTGAAAAAATTTAATTTTATATGAGGTTTCGCCCTCATGTTTTTATTCCTAAAAATTTTTGTACAATTGATATAAGTGAATTTTTTTTATAAATTTAATTGAGTCGGAATCAAAACTTCACAAGAATTTTCATAAAAAAGTTATATTGTACAAAACATAAAAATTGTTATTTTTTACATTATATTTTTTTAATGTTGTTTTTATTTTTTGAAAATTTTAACTTTTTTGTAAATGAAATTTTTTTTTTTAATTTGTTATTTTGTACATTGAATTTTTTTTTGTTTTTTCTTAACATTATTTTTTACATAATTTTTTTAGTTATTTTTTACATAATTTTTTTTGTTATTTTTTACATATAGAAAAAAAAATTTTCGTTATTTTTTTGGGGCGGTTTGAGGTGCACACAAACTAAATGCATACATTAAAACTGTATATAAACTCCATTTACAAGTATCACGGAGAGAAATAGATGGTACGAGATAGTATCTA